AAGATATGGACGTTTATTTTCAGGTACTTGCATTTTTCCTATTACTTTAATTGATGACCGTAAGTGAAATTTCTCTTCAATTCTCCATTACTGTTATTAAAACAGACAGTTTATAATAACCATCTGTAATCGCTCCAATGTTAACAAGATTATTAGATGATTTTTCAAAAATCATTTTATATGCTGTTCCATTCTGAAAAGAAAATTAAAATATTTTAGATAATAATTAATTCATATAATTAGGAATTTTACTGAAAACAAATATCCAATGTTTCAGAATTGATAGTTGAAATAAAGAAGCATATTCTACTAAAACTTAATTAAATTCTTTTGATTATGTAGTAACACAAAATAATAATATAACATAAATATATATGAAATGTCTGTTCCTATAATGTAACTGTTTATAAACAGAGCATGTCACGTCACTGTTATCTTATTAAACGGACTTTTTAATATACATGTTATTACAGTACTTTGTGTGACTGACAAGGGACATGTCACAACTGTCCGGAACCGATTTGATTCTCCTTGAAATATGTTGTTAAATACACAAATCTAAAAGACACGTATTTTTTTTATACGTGCGCAATTTGAGTTTTAAGGGGTGAAACACCCCTTTAAAGAATAACGGTATTTTTCTTTAGGATCAAATATCTGCTAAACTATAAGAGATATAAAGAAAAACGTACAACAAATTTTAATGGCTTGAAGAGTACTTTAAAGTTATATGAACAAAAATTTTTTTTTTTTTTTTTTTTTTTTAAAAACCCTCACCACCTAATTTTTTTTTTCAAAATTAAAAATTTTGTTTTACCTAATTTAAAGCTTATTTTTTTCCAAATTCAACCATGTGTAATAAAGTTATGTTACGAAATATCATTTTCGAAAATTAATTATAAACGCTCCCGTATATACGCTCATCCGTGCTATGTGCGTAAGTAATTACCGTCGAACAATAAAATATATAAAAAATTTTTTGTATAATTCTTATTTATGTTTTCTATGTATTTATAACTGCGTATTGTGTATATTTAGATTTAAAAAAAAATTTTTAAATATAATTAATAAGAATTTTTTAAATATACCCCCTGCTTTCTTATTATTTCTTTAATATTTAATTTCTTCTATAAAATTAAAAACAATTATATTTTATAATAAAATTATTTTTTAATTGAATCTTGCGAATACCAATGTCGCAATATTTGGCATAAACAAATTTTATATCTTACGTTAAATGAATCATAAGATAAGATTATGTGTACGTGTTCCAGATAAGTTATAATTTTTACAATAAAATCTTTAATACGTTAAAATAAATAATAAAATAAGATTATGTGATGACGTATTTCTGATAAGTTAATATAAATTGTTCATGTAGCAGCATAATTCTCACAGTCGGTGTAGTCTTTTCGTTGTAATAATATCTGTGTAAACTGTTCTTTTATTGCAATAGAAAGCAAAATATAACATCTTTGAATATGATTATCAATCCGCTTAACGTTGTTAGACTTTTATTGGTGTCAATAAATTCAATATATTTAACAGAAACGCCAGTAACTGAAGCAGAAGTGGAATTAAAGGAAAACATTAAAAAAATATTACTGGATAGCGTTTTTCATTATAATGGGGTGGAAGTAACGGAAGAAATATATCTCGATTATGAAGACCTTATAAATTACATAGTTTTGAAATAATTGAAGATGACGAAGAAGCATGGCATGAAGATAGTTTAAATTCTCATCCTCATTGTTCAAATGATGATACAAATTTTGATAGTTCTTATAAAAGACGAGCTGTTGAGTATTGGCGATTTCGGGACACTGATGAAAACAGTAATGACAGAAAAAGGAATCGTCCTCTAAGAGTAGTACAAAATAAATTTAGAAGAGTTTCATCTGAACGTCAGTTAAGGCGATGGGAAGAACAAATACAATCAGGTGGAAGTCGTACAGAAAAATTATCTTACATCTCCAAATTTACACATGATAAATTTACTGCAGCTGTCGAATCAGGATTCATGGTTCATGATATTGATTTAAAAAGATGGGCTTTACAAGCTCAAGAAGAAATAGGAAATTTAAATCCTATATTTAAAGCATCTCACAGTTGGATAGCAAGATTTAAGAAGTCTCACCGAATTGTTTCAAGAAAAGTTACGAAGTTTGTCACTAGAAGAACATTAGAAGATTCTGCTGATTTGCAAAATCAGCTGATGATTTTCTGGAAACAGTAAAACCTCTTATTGAACAGTTTGGATCTGAAAATATTTACAATTCAGATCAAAGTGGTTTCCAATTGGAACTTCACTCTGGAAGATCATTGTCTAACCAGGGAGAAAAGAAAGTAGAACGTGTCGTGCAATCCATATCATCAACAACCCATTCATATACGATACAACCAATAATATCCTGTAATGGCAATTTGTTGTCCCCTTTATTTATTGTATTAAAAGAAGCTAATGGTAAATTTGGACCAAGAGTACAAGAAAATTTATTTAAAGCAGAAAATGTTATTGTAAAAGCATCGAAATCTGGTAAAATGACATCAGGTATTTTCCTTTTATAATTACTTTTTTTAACAACCTTATTTTATTTAACAATTTAATAAGAGTCATAAAAAAACTATTAAATTAACATTTATATTTTGTACAGATCATTTTAAAATGTGGTTAGAAGAAGCTTATTTCGCAAACATTGGTCCTAATAGCGTTCTTCTTATCGATTCATGGACTGGACATTGCCCCAATATGATTTCGGATTTAACACCTCCTGGAACACATATTACTACTATGATAATACCGAAAGGAACTACAGGGAAAATACAACCATTAGATGTTTATGGATTCAGAATTTGGAAAAATTTTGCTAAAAGATTTTCAGATGCGGTTTTACTGTTGGAAAGTAATATAAACTTACATGAACGAAATAATATAATAAAATTGCAATCTTTGATACATAATCAATTGTCATCCCCACGATATCAAAACTTATTTAAATATTCGTGGTTTAAAAGTGGTTATACGAATGAAAGACCAGACGAATTCGAAAATCCAGTACACTTTAGTTTAGACGAAACTTTAACAAAATGTGATATCGAAGGTTGCAATAATATAGCTGTAGTAAGATGTTCTTGGTGCAAGAAGTCATTATGTTTGAAACATTTTTTTGTCGAATATCATTATTGTAATGTGTATAATGAGTGAATAATATAAAATGCAAATACATTTTTAAAAAAATCTAAATATACACAATACACAGTTATAAATACATAGAAAACATAAATAAGAATTATACAAAAACATTTTTTATATATTTTATTGTTCGACGGTAATTACTTACGCACATAGCACGGATGAGCGTATATACGGGAGCGTTTATAATTAATTTTCGAAAATGATATTTCGTAACATAACTTTATTACACATGGTTGAATTTGGAAAAAAATAAGCTTTAAATTAGGTAAAACAAAATTTTTAATTTTGAAAAAAAAAATTAGGTGGTGAGGGTTTTTAAAAAAAAAAAAAAAAAAAAAATTTTTGTTCATATAACTTTAAAGTACTCTTCAAGCCATTAAAATTTGTTGTACGTTTTTTCTTTATATCTCTTATAGTTTAGCAGATATTTGATCCTAAAGAAAAATACCGTTATTCTTTAAAGGGTTGTTCACCCCTTAAAACTCAAATTGCGCACGTATAAAAAAATACGTGTCTTTTAGATTTGTGTATTTAACAACATATTTCAAGGAGAATCAAATCGGTTCCGGACAGTTGTGACATGTCCCTTGTGAGTATATTTAATTATATTTGATAATTGTTGTTATGTTTGATTATTGTTATTATTTGATATCGTTAAATTGTTATATTTGATTATTGTTATTATGTTTGATATTGTTATATTTGATTATTATTATTAAATTTACAATTAAAAATCAAAATTTGATTTTGGATAATCAAAAAGTTTTAAATTTAAATATTGATTAACATATAAGAGAGATTATAATATTAAATTACCTATTATTAAACCACTTTTGGTTCTGGCATTTTGCATTTTAATCAAAGAAATTGTTTCAATTTCTTTTGGTATTTTATAAATGCCAATAGGAACGACAATAGTGGAACTTCGGATTAATAATTCGTATGGAAATGAAGCATTATGTAAATATTCTTTCCTCAAAGGGATTTTAGGTACCACTTTTTGTAGAGAATAAACCTATACAATTTAAGAATTTGTTTTAATTAATATGATAAATAATATTATATAAATATATTAAAATGTAATGTTATATAAATAATAATATATAAAAAATCTTATTTTAATACTATATAAATATAAAAATATCTTACTTGTTCTGTTTGAGTTATTATGTCTGCATATTTAAAAGCTAAATCATTCCAGGCAGCAATTTGAATGGTAATTTCACCGTTGCTCATAATAAAATTAAAAAGATGCGTTGTTTTGCCATTTCTTGTGGTTGATTTAATTTGAAATATTGAACTGACGTAGCCAGTTATTTCACTATAATGAAAGAATTTATTTGATTGAAATAAGGAAATGTTTGATTAAAATTAAAATATCTAATATAATTAAAATTTAAAATTATAAATTATTGCTAAAATTATTTAATGTAAAACTATAATTGTAAATAAATATATAATGTGTATATGTATATGTGTTTTTGTGCGTATGCGTTTGTATATTTGTGTGTATCTGCATCTATGTATATTTAAATGTATAATGTGTATGTTACATGTGAAAATTTAAGTGTACGTGTATGTGTGTGTGTGTGTGTGTGTGTGTGTGTTTTTATGTATGCATGTGACTGTGTGCGCGCGAGGTGTGTAAATTTAGTTTTATAGTTTTTATTTTCTTTATAATATTATAACTAATTATTAATATGCATAATCATTAAGAAAATATAACTTACAAAGTCGTATCGTTTTCCATAATGTCCTCCAAAATTTCTTTTTTTGTAAACAAATTGGTATTTGTTATTTCTTTTAAAGCCATGTTAAACCTATATTAATGTGTTTATATTATTAAATGCTTTTTTAACAATTATTAATAATATAAATAATGTTCAACATTGAGTTTTATACCAAAATTTTGCTCTGTGAAAGTAGAATTTATTAATTTTGATACTGATATTTTCAGCATAATAATCTTTAATACTTACGTTAAAAAGAAAATGAATGTACTACACAACCGTCTTGGAGTCGATACACACAAGAAATGCTCTACGGTTTTTTGCTAGCGTCTTTTTTTTTTCCTTAGAAACGATGAAAAAAAAAATATTTGTTTTTCCTTGAAAAACAATAGAAAGTTAAAAACAAATAAATATGAATAACTTTAATTGTAATTAATAAAATTAATAATATAGAATTTAATTAATAATATTATTCCACATTAATATATTAAAATAATGAAAATAATGACACAGTTTCTCTATACCTATATATTTACATTATGTTTGTCCAAATTTTACGTTATATTCTTTATTTCTAAAAATATTTATAATAAGAAATTAGGCGCGGCTTTTTTTGTTACATAGAGTATTATTTTATAAATGCTAATAGGCACAATAAATAGTGGTAAACTTTGTATTAATAATTTAAATTTAATAATTGATTTTAATTAATATAACAAATAATTACATAAATGTTTTTAATGTAATATTTATTTTAATTTATAAATGTTTTATTATAATATTATATAAATATCTTACTTTTGTTTAAGTTATTATGTATATTTAAAAGCTCAATCATTCCAGGCAGCAATTTGAATGATAATTTCACTGTTGTTCATAATAAAATTATAAAGATGCGTTTCTACCATTTCTTTTGGTTTTCGGTTGATCTGATTTAAAATGTTGAACTGCTATAACCTGTTATTTTATAAAATAAATTAATTGTATTAATAAAATTTTGAAATATTTTGTTAATTAAGGATAAAATATCTAAATTGGTTAAAATTTATGATCATAAATTATTACTAAAATTTTAATATTATTATCAATAAGTATATAATGTATACATGTGTATAATGTGTATGTAGTATAGGTAAAGTATGTGCATATGTTAGTGTGTGCGTGTGTGTGTACATGTGTGATTTGCGTGAGTATGTACACATGTATGTATATGCGTGCGTATGTATTTGTGTGTGTAAATTTAATTCTATAGTTATGATCAATGTTATAATTATTAATAAGCTGTAACTTACAAAATTATATCATTTTCTACAAGGTGCTCCAAAATTTCTTTGTAAACAAAATATTTTTAATTTTTTTTAGTTATTTACTTTAAAAATTGATGTTTTCTTCTAGAAAAAGAATCCTTAGAAATAATTTAAAGAAAAAAAATATTTGTCTTTCCTGGAAAAAATCAAGGAAAAAAGATACTTAGAAACAAATAAATATTAATAAGTTTTTAATTTTAATTTTATTTTACTAAATTAAAGTAATATTTTTATTAAGAATTCTTAATTACAAACTTTATAAATAAATAACTATAGACTAATAAATAAATAAATGATAATCCTTAAGAGTCGCCAGTAATAAATAATGAAAACTCTCCTCCAATTTTAAAGTCGACCAGACTGGCAATAATTTATTTTAAATAATTAGTTTAATTTACAACGTTTCGGCTGTCATTGCAGCCCTTTTCAAGTAATCTATAAACAATTATATACATATAAATATACTCTTAATGCGCTTAATCATACAAATAATTATAGATTTACAAAATATATATGTTTACATACCAGATTAATACAATAAATCATATTTACAGCAAACCCCCGACAAAATTAACCATTGTTTTGATGAACAATGTATAACTGACAGAAGTAAGCCCGAAATAAATAGATGCCCAGTCAGCACAAAAGATCCCCTAGATGTACATAGAATATACGGAAATGGATTCTGGATATCCTGTGTATATCATAACACATCTGAAAGATGTCCATTGCAGATCGTATAGATGTTCAAAAGCAATGCACCGTAGGTCTCAGGTAGATCTATTATACATCCATTTGTACATCCAATGTACATACATGGAACATACATTTTTGTATATCCATATCGTCGCACTTTTAGCATATTCTATGTGTATCCAAAGAACGTGTATTGTACATCACATGTATGTATTATATATATCCAAAGAACGTATATTGTACATCACATGCATGTATTATGTACATCCAAAGAACGTATACTGTACCTCGCACATACATGTACTATGTATATCGAAAGAACGTATACTGTCCATCATATGCATGTACTACGTATATCCAATATATATATCTATATGTACATTTAATGTATATACATTTTCATATATTATATGTATATATTATTTGAGAGGTTCAAAAAGATTCAAATATACAGCCATATATAGGTTTTGATCATTTTGTATTTAGTATTTTATTATAAAAATGTGACAAATTTTTAAACTAATACTTTAATTATCTACCTTTAATTGTACATATATATATATATATATATATATATTATATCAAGATTCCAGCTAATTTTATTCGACATTGGATATCCGTGTACTATATACATAATATGACGTACAAAATGTTTTTCGAATATCATAAAAAATAAATGCTAAAGAAATTATATGGATATACGAAAATGTATGTACATATAAACAGTGGATGTAATAAACATATTCACTGTATACATATATTTTTGTATATTAATATAATTTTTTAGCATTTATTTTTTATTATAATTTTCGAAAAACATTTTAAATGTCATATTATGTATGTATAGTACAGATATCCAATGAAGTTATTTCTAATACATACATATATAATATATTCTATACAATTAAAAACTGTTGTTTCAACCGTTGTTGTGTTTTAAAGTTTTAAAATAAAAAGAACTCAATTTAAAATAAAAACAAAAAGCAATTTTGATAAATGTGCACTAAATAAAAAAAACAAAAATAATAAATGCAAATAATATATATAGTAGCAGAACAATCAAATTAATAGTATTTAAAACCTTAAAATTTTACTTTTAATTTGTAATAAATGTAAAACAAATAATTATATATATATAACGGCAAGTTATACATATAATTATCTTAATCTTGAATAAGGTCTTTCTCAGAAACGGAGCCTGTTTCACAAACGGAGCCTGTTTCACAAGCAGAGCCTGTTTCACAAACGGAATCTGTTTGACACACAGTGTTTTCCGTTTTCTTTTTTGATTGAAACTTGTTACTGCGTTCTTTACTTCTAACTAGCCAATTTTTTATTACTTCTATGATATCCGATTCTGTTGCAGATTTTGTCTTGGAGTTCAGTCGAACAACACCTAAAATCATTTAGTAAATATAAAAGTTACGCACGCATATGAGCATTACATAACGTAACTGTGCAACATAACCGGTGTGAACAGATCTGCGAACTTTAATGCGTAACATCATCATATAATACATATATATTACAGATATTAAATAAAAAATTGTGAATAAAAAAATGAAAGCGACAAAGTAATGTAACAAAATTAAATTCAAATTCAAATTTTTCTATTTAAATATTATTTGATTACGCAACACAGTTATGTTACGATGAAACTTGATTCAAGCGTATATGTATATGCTTAAAATGGTTTTGATGTAGAGTATATAAAATAATATATTTTACCAATGATCACTTGGACGAACTTTAGCGATTTAAAAGCTTTTTTTTGCCGAGCTCCCTCCCAGGAATATAGCATTCCAACTTCATTTGAAATTGCTCTCGACATAATGGCTTTGATTACATGGGGAAGATCTGTGCCTCCAATTAAACGCAGTTGATGACTCTAAAATATAAAATTCACAAAATAAAAAAGTTCTTTATTAGAAAATAATTTTCATCATGTAAAATATAATCTAAATAATATATAATAATATAATTAAGTACACACCAGTGCATGTATGTTATCAGCTGAACTCGATAGCCATTCTTCCATCGACATTAATTCCTGCTCTGTAACGACTGGAAACGATTGTATTAAAGTCATAACAGCCGTATTAGTGTCATCATTTAGTTCTGGCTCATCAGCATATCGGGCTTTTTTTACAAGTATATTCACGTTATCCATAAGATCATTTAATTTAAGATTAATCAGATGAACTTCTTTAAGAAGTTGTTTTCTGAATTCTGAAAATTCTGAAAGTTAAGTTATATTGGATATTAAAATATTATACAAAAAGGAATATTTAAAAATACAAAACATATAAAGAATAAAAATAATTATTTACCAGCATTTACGTGAACGCTATCTGTAGTTTGCTTGAAGTTATCTTAAAATAACAAGAAAATATTATCAATTTAATTAATAATGCTTATTTAACAGAATTGTTGTATAACAACAAACTTGTTATATTAAGGCCGATAATACGTTGGTGAATTCAATGCAGAGCAGAAAAAATTTCAACATATGTATTCCTATGATAGTATGCTACAGCGGACTACGCTGGGCCTGTCGTAGCTTATCTACCATAGGAATATACTCGTATGTATATGTTGACGACTTTTCCGCTCCGCATTGAATGTACCCATGTGCTACCGGCTTTAAAGTGGAATAAATTAATATAGAATTTATTTATTAACATTATTATTTAGATTAATTTATATTAATACTATTATTTAAGTAATACTATTATTTATTATTGAAAAAATCAATATTGTTTTAAAATATTAATTTTTTAAATGTATATTATAATTGTTATCTAAAACCAAAATATTTAAATATAAATATAAAGTGGAATAAATTAATATAGAATTTATTTATTAACACTATTATTTAGATTAATTTATATTAATACTATTATTTAATTAATACTATTATTTATTATTCAAAAATCAATATTGTTTTAAAATATTAATTTTTTAAATGTATATTATAATTGTTATCTAAATATATTTATATTTAAATATTTTGGTTTTAGATAACAATTATAATATACATTTAAAAAATTAATATTTTAAAACAATATTGATTTTTTCAATAATAAATAATAGTATT